CCCCAAAACCCCAAAACCCCAAAACCCCAAAACCCCAAAACCCCAAAACCCCTTTTGGTATAAATGGATTTGAATGGTATTAAGTTAACAATAATAAAAAATAAAAATGAAAATTTGGAGTTCTCTCCTGCTTGCATTGACTGTTCTCTGCGTGCTTGTGCAAGGGTAAGCAATTCTTCGATAAAGAGTGGCTGCTAATGAAGCCTACAAACAATTTTGCAAGCAAATATCCCTGTTTTAGAAATTTTTGGGTGCTTCCGGCCCACTCTAAAGTGGTAATGCTAATAAAAAAAGATCATTCTGGGAGGTACACTCAAAAAATAGCTACAAATTTCAACTGTACATAATCAAAATCTCACGATATTCTGTGCACCATACGAGACTGTTTAGGAATTTAGTAGATTTCTAACAGATTCTTACTTTCTAGCATCGTGGCGCAACATTAGAGAAAATGCGTAATCTTGTAGATCTAGATAGGACATAATTTGGACTATTAATCTGTTCTGAGTTAGAAATAAACGATAGTTCAGTATTTATACCTTCGTAGAAAGCCTTTGTTATAAATTATTGAGAAAAATTAACACTTGTGTTGCTATTGAGTTAGATTTTAAGAGAAATTAACCTTATTCTGATATAGAGCACGAGCAGACGACGAAATTGATGGAGGAATTGTGCTTAGGATCACAAATCACTTCCTAGATACCATTAAAGATCAGCTGATTAATGAGATTTTCACTCATTTCAGACCAACTGATGAGACTTATGCTGATAGCTTTGACTTGGACTTATTCAAAGTTTTCTATAATGTGTCTAATATAAATCTGGCCAGCTTTGGAATGGATTACAGAAAGTCTACAATCAAATTCCAGGAAGAGATGCCAAATATTGTATTTGATTTGGTAGATTTAAGGACAAATCTTGATTTCGACTTTAATCTCACTGCCAGACCAAAATTCTATGATGATGTTGGAAAAGGAGCAGTCCATTTTGAATTTGATAAGTTCAGGATTGGATTAACTATTACCCAGGTTAATGGAGTGTTTCAATTCGAGGTTAAGGAGATCAACGCTCAACTAAGAAAAGATGGAAGTGGAAGCTATTTTGCAGGAACAGGAGATATCTCCTTTGTTCTGAACCAGGCAGCTACACTCTTCCAAGATCAATTGATGGCAAAGCCAAACGATACCATTGGAATGATTTTAGGTTTAGTTATCCCTCAAATTAATGGTGCTCTTGCTCAAAGCGGATGCAAAGCTAACATTGCATCTTTAGCTTTCAACTGGTGTGCTGTTAAGCAACCAATCTTCACAAAGGATGACCTCGTACTTGTATTCACCGGAGAGGTTACTCCTTCCGAAGGTACTGCATTCCCATATCAAGAAATGAGGAAGATTCCTTACAAGTTTGATCGAAGCTTGAAAGATGTGTCTTTGTTCATCTCTGATTACACTCTAAACACAACTCTTTGGGCTGCTCATAAAAATGGAATGATGCAGTATGACATTAGATCAATGGGAGCTGCTGAAGAAGGAAAACCTGCTCCTCCAATTCCAGCCTCAACTCTCTTCATTCTCTTCCCAGATCTTAGCAAGCATGTTGAAAAGGATACCCCTCTCAGCATCGAAGTGAAGGCTTTAGAAGAAGTAGTCCCAGTATTGAAAATCGAAAACGGAGAGACTACAATTGAGCTTGTTGTCTTAGTCAGCTTCGCCACTCTTGATAAACAAGGCAGCAGAGAACCCTTCCTAGAGGTTAAATCTAACTTGAATGTTGCTGCTAACTTCAGAATTGATTCTCCATTTACATTCAAGACTGATATCAGCAAAATGAGATTCAGAGCAGACGAGCTCAGCCTGGATAGGTTCGACATCACCAATGTAAGAGACTTAAACTCGATCATTGGAACAATGTCAGGATTCGCTAGAAATTATGCCAACAGAGTGTTGTCAGGAATGAAGTTCAAAGAATTTAATCTATCTTTTATCATCATGAATGTTGAGAAGACTGTCCTAAAGGAAATGAACAGATATATGTACGGATCAATGTCTCCAAGTTTTAAGGCTAACAACACTTTTGTACCCCTAGAGCCTCACCAAGTCATTAGTAAGTTTGAAATCAAACCAGTGACTTATGAAGACAAAGTGAATGCTATGGCTGAATTGCTCAAATATACTCCATTATACACCTCTATCCAAGAATATAAAAAGAACCATCACCTCTACGAAGCTCTTGGTAATATCGGAGGTGGAGGACTAGGATTAAAGTTCAACCAGGACGACGATAACGATGCCTCATTACCAAAAGAGAGAGGAGAGGAATACAAAGAAGCTCAAGAATAATCTAAATAAATCGATAAGTTCTTCTAGCCCATGCTATTATTTCCAATCAGGTCTGATTACGAAAAGTCTTTTAGAACCTCCTTAATTTTTATTGCGAAAAAGGGGTTTTGGGGTTTTGGGGTTTTGGGGTTTTGGGGTTTTGGGG